TTAAATTTGGATAAAAAAAAAAAAAAAGATTTATTCATTGCAACTTGCAAGACTCCACTTTAATTAATTTGTTGTTCTCTTGAATGGCTGATTAATGGTATATTGAGATGGGATCAAATTCGATTAGGTGAATATTGTTTTAAAAAATAGATTTTTTTGAATATTATGGCACATGATTCAATTTTTGTTTTAGAAGTTAATGTGGAATCTTGTGGTGAGTGGAATTAGAATCAAATATATTCATGGAATAATTATCAAATTTCATTTTGTTATTGTATTTGCTTTCATATGTACACGTTTAAAATAACACAAGATTCTATACGTCATAGATTCTTTTCAATTTTGAATATTGTCCACCAAAATATTACCATCTTATTAAAAAATTTAAAGAAAAAATTGCAAAATATACTCATTAACGTAATGTACGCGATAATTTTCACAGTAACTTTTGCACTTTGCACAAATGTCAAAAATTAGGCAATTAATGCTAAAACAGTTAAATTTGAATAACATGCCGAATTATATCAGGTCTTTTTCAATTTGAAGTTGATTATGCATGTTTTATATGTAATAGTTACTTTGTGTGTGTTTTTAACTTTTGTCTTGTCGAGATTTTAGTTGTTTATAGAGNGGTATCGTTTTCATACTTTCATATATATTTTTTTTTTATTTTATTTTACGAATAAAATAGAATTTGAATAATTAGTGTAAGAATATTGGTTTGGCATCATCCGAAAAACCTAAGTGTTTTCTAGAAGATTTTCTTGTTAGGCAAGCAAAATGAAATAAAGGGAAGTTTTCTATTTATTTACTTCTTAATTAATTAAGTTCCTATTATTTATTATTAATAATATATGTTATATATTTATTATAATGTGTATTATGGAATCCTAAACCTTTAGGAGAAGGATTACATAATATATATCTTATATATGTACTTACCATATATGCCACATGCATTAATGAGTTTGATTCTATGCCATAATTAGTTTTCTCTTTCTTGTAGGACAAGGAATAGGTGGCAAGGACTATGAAAGGATGAGCAATTCGTGCATAAGGAATTCTGGACGTTATCTAGAAGATCTAAGGAGGATTTGGAAAGATTCGCCACAAGATCTTTGAAGATTTGGAAGATCGGCTATTTTAGGAAAGTTGTGTTCTTGCACGAGTCTGGAACCACGAAGATTTCCATTGGCAACTCAATTCTGAAGATCTCCAAATCACATACAATCAAGGAAGATTTACTTTCCATGTTACTACACTATTTTTGGGAAGAAGATCAAAGGAGATCGTGAAAGAAGGAAAGAACTTGGAGAAGACTCCAAGCCTAAGGAATTATATATATACTCTACTTGAAGATCGAATGAAGGCTGCTGAAATCATTATCTTCCATTCAATATTCGAGCTTCAAGCCTTTTTGTTTTATTTTCGTTGTTCAGTTTTCGGTGTTCTTACGTCATCGAAGAACTGAAATTCTTTTGATTCTTTTGTTTTTCATTCAAACACTTGTGTGATCAGTGCTTAGGGATTAAGTATTGTCTTTAGCTCGAGGGATTCGAGAGGTAAAGTCCACAGGACGTGGCCGGAGAAGTAGTTGATAGAATCGTGTGTAGTTGTGGCTAGGCTAGAAGGGAGTTCGAGTCGTGTAAGTCCAAACTATACAAGTGTGCACAAACGGTTTATCACTGAAAGAACTCTGAGGGGAAGTGAGACGCTTCCCTGAAGAGTTTTTAAATCTTCGGTTTATTGCTTCCGCTATTCTAGTTGTTTATTTGTGTTTTAACAACGTTGAGCGCACTCGTTACAAAATACCTACGTTTCAATTAGGGATCAAGCTTTTAGGAGTATTTATGAGTAAATTAAATATTTAATCGATTGTCGCAACCAAGCCTACTTCACGTGCCGTATAGTATCCTACAATTTGTCACCATCATAAATTAAAGAAATGTTGATGTTTCTGTATACACCTCAAATAATAAGAGAACAACAAAAATGATCCTAATTAATAAAATTAAGTCTCTAATTCATCTTATCAAACTTATCAAAATGCAAGCTAAGCATCATCAGGCATGCATCAATTACCATCTGAATATCAAGTCCAAAGAGTTCAAAACACCAATTTGTTTTGCTTTATTAATGCTTATTTTTTACATCTCTTTTTTTCCTTTTTAAAATTTGTGCCGTGTGCTCATGAACTGCAGATACAAAATTGCATTATTGAGAAGCATTTTAAAGCTTTTACATAAGGGAAAGAAAAAAATATTTGGCTAAGAGTGGGAGTCCATACTGATTTTGATGATCTTAAAGTACATTATTTTTATTTTGTACTTTACAAATGGGATAGCTTTTTGAATGAGATTTTTGTACTATCTAATGTAATTATTTTTGTACTCTCTTCCATAAATAGTTAAATACATGCATGTATAGATAGACAGTTCTTTAATTTCAAAAGTTAAAAAGGGAGAAAAAGATCAAGATCATTTTTTTTATTCCTTGAATAAAATGAAAAAGAATGAGATATATTATTTTATATATGTGTGCAACTTATTGTGATGCAATCAAATGCTCTAAATTTAAGACAAACTATTATTACAATTAACAAGTCAGGTGGGACTTGTATTTGTGACGTCCATTTTCAGTTTAAATTTGCCTAAAGTACATAAAATTGAAAATTATTGGTCAAGAGATAGACAAAAGAATGAGAAGCTAAAAGTTATTTGATCAACTGAATTAAGAGAATTTCTCCTTTTCTTTTATGATCAGATAACTTTTGTATTTATCATTGGTTCCTTGTAAATTTTTCGATTTCAATGAGATTCACTATTTTGTAAATGCATCGATCAAAGTTTGGATCTCAAATCCGCATTTAATTTAAATTTGATTCTATTATATCTCACCATTTTTCCTTCTAAATAACTAAAATATAATTTGTGGTGGGTTAAAGCTCCAAGATTTGGATTGTGACTTAATCGGCACAATGCCTTTTGAACTAACAATGAGCTTAGTGAGAATTACTAAGCAAAAAATAAAAAGAAAAAAAAATCTCACATCATAAATTTATAGCCGAATATTATCAAATAAGACATTTTTTTGTATTTTTGACAAACCTATTAAGTCAAACAATATTCTTGTGAGTTGTGAGAATGAATATAATCAGTAATATGAATATGCCTATTGGAATTGGATCAATACACGGATTGTGCATTCCACTTGTTGTGAATTATAAAAGAATCATATTATTATTATCGTGATCTTTAAGGACTTGAAAAATTTTAAATTTTTTTTTAAAATAGATTAATAGTTAGTCGAGTCGACTTGTCATATATTAAAGAAAAGTACGCACTTATGTTATTAAGTGTCATACTTTTTTTCACATTGTTTTTTAAAATATGATATTTCAATTTAAAAATATACATGTTTATTAAAAAAAATATAGTGACCTAATCAATAACACATATCCACGATTAGGCATAAAAAATGATAAGGAAGAATCAAAAAGATATTAGTAAAGAGGAGGCAACACTCCAAATTTCCACTACCATAGACAAAACATTATGGACCTAATGGATATCATCTCCAAAAGAAAAAGGGAGGAAATTTCAAACCTGAAAAAGATTATAAATAATTCAAATAAATGTCGGAGACTTTTTATAAATTTAATTAAAAATATTATTTAAAAGTTCCGAATTCCGATATGGAAGTTCTTTAAGTAAAGCACTGTTTGCAAATATTATAGCATTTATACGCATGGAGTTAGAAAGCAATTTCTCTTGCCCTAATATCTCTAATTGAGGTGCAAAGTGCAAGCCTAGCCCGACCTCATTATATTTAATTGGGCTCGAGACTTTATTGAAGCTAAGTTTGACTCATTTATTAATATTAATAAACTGAACTTGAGAGCTCGAGTTTGACCAACAAAATTCAAACCTGAACGAACCAATCTATAAAAATTACATAAAATCTTTATTTTCGAATCTTAATGAGTCGAGCTAACGAGCAGTAGTTTCGATTATAAAATATTTCCCTAATTCAAAAAAAAAAAGTATCAATATTATATTACTCAAAAGGTGGTGAGCAATTTCATAGTACAAAGTCCATAGATAAGGCATATCACTCGACACTGAAAGACTTTGACAGTTCGTCCAACTTATAAGCATTACATAGCATTCCACTTAAGCACCAAAATGAAAAACAAAAAAAAAATGAATTCATTAAATGAAAATCAGTCAATAAAACACAATAGTGTAGCATCTAAAAAAATGAAGAGAGGGATGATAAAAAAAGATAAAAATAAAAATACGAGCAACTCGAGTATCGTCAATGGCAAGGGCTAGCAGTAGTCCTGATGAAAAAGGTCAATTCAAGGAATGTATCTAGCCATCCTATCAACAATCACAGGATAATACTTTTCTTTTTTTTTTGTTCTTCTATTTTGAATAAATTCGGCTCAAGAGCCACAGCAAGCCGATTTTTGAGCAGCTTGGGCAGCTCCGTTTGTTTGGTCCGGTTGGTTAATCCTTATGGCCTGAGGCTGCATTTCATGCAAAAACCACAAGTTTAATTAATCTTGATATCGAACATGAATTAGTATAATATATTAATATCCCGGCATGCATAACTAGGGATAATTAATTAACTACAAATAAGCATAACTATGGAACACCAGTTATCTTTTCGAAATTAAAAAATAGTAAAATACTCACTCGTTAGAAGTTATATTTGTCCCACACGGATTATTTATTCGGCTGTCCTTATATATAAATGTGGATTGATCACCCTCTCCTTTGAGCTAGTTTGTTGGAATGAGTTGCACCAAAGCGCACCCATCATTGTATGTATGTTTTCATTTCACAAAATGCGTCCTATTGAGGTGTAATTTGGATTTCGTACCATAATTTTTTCAGGGAAGCAGGTATTTGTAATTTCCACATAGTTTTTCCTTCTTCTTCTTTTTATTTATTTTTTTTTTTTCTTTTTTTGATGAAGCTAAACCTCAAAAATTGTAGTTTTTGGTTATTATCCCATATAACACTTGATACCTCAGTCTTGGAGTCTGTCTCGGCAAGTCTTTGCTTGATGTCCCTGGCAATTGAGAAGAAAACCTCCTCCACGTTCAAGTTTGTCTTAGCACTCTGTTTGACATGATAATCATTACACCACGTCATTTTGAGAATTTTTTTTTTTGAACAAAAATAATAATAAATGAAAATAAGTTTCCAATATTATGCAACTCACGGTCTCAAAAAACTTGATTCCATATTCATCAGCAAGTGCCTGACCTTTCGAGGTAGGAACAGCCTGTGGAAGGTTATTTGTTGCGTTAAAAACTCAAAAAGGAACAATATTACAGAAAAGCATGCCCATTGATGTATATGCATACCCTTTTACTTTCATCCATGTCAGCCTTGTTCCCGACGAGTATTTTGTTGACATTGTCAGATGCGTGTTGTTCGATGTTTCTGATCCAATTCCTGATGTCTGAGTAGAGGATAAAGTCAATTTTGTACAAAGTGTAAATTAAGTTAAAGCTATTATTACGCATTAAGAAAGTCGATTTAATACGTAAGTACAGCATTAATGAACAATAAAGGGAAGGTAAAACCTCTACAGAAGATCATGCGAGTAGAAAAAAGAGAAAGGTTGAAGAAAGAAAAGAAAATTCCAAATGAAAGAGAAATTACTGTTGAAGGATGACTCATCCGTGACGTCATAAACCAACAATATACCCATTGCTCCACGGTAGTAAGCTGCAAAATAAACATTCATTCAGTCAAAACGAGAGAGAAAGCGAGGGACTTTTGGAAGTGGTGTTTGGACGGAAACAAAAAAATATGACGTCATTCATCGCTCAGAATGTGTGATTTCTGCATTCACATATTTGATAAACACTTCATGGAATAAAATTTTAAGGTTTCATACGAAATCCGCAAATGAAAATGAGGTCTCCCACAAAACAGTCAATGACCTATGGTAATAATTATAAAATGGCTCCAGGATGTGATTTGATGTTTCTGAAAATAAGATCCTACTTCTTCTAAACTTACAAGATGTTCTAAATTAGTCAGGAAACACACCATCAAACAGAAATTAGCTACATAAATTCTGAGAAAAAAATTATAGATCCTGCTTTATGTTTAGACAATCACCACCAGGTTTAAAGTGTTTGATGACCATTTTTCTTTACCATTGTATTTGACAAGTCAAATTATACTTTACCATGGCATGTAGAAACTCAAACACAGGCCATTACAAAAAGTAATCAAAGGAAGGTATTTCCATGGTCCCGACCGAGGGAGTTGGCTAAATAAATGACCAATGAACTGATCTATAGAAACTGCTTCATTGGTTGATGAGTAAAACAAGGTTTATTGTAACTTACCGGAAAGGTGGCCATTTTTTTGCATGGATAGAATACTTTGTTGGAGTTAACTTGGCATTGTGAATCCTTGCCCCAATGAGATGTGGCCATTGAACAAGGACCAAACGTTGGGGAAAATTCGTGCCAATTTTACTCAGCAAAAGCTGGTGATGGATTTGGTTCCAGAGGAGACTCCAGCGTGAAGTTCTCAGAGAGAAAATATATTCATAAATAGAGATGGGATACCAGGCCCATGTATTGGAGAATGTGAATGCTTGTATCTCTTCAAGATTCATGAAGAGGGTCGGGATTCTACTTTCATCACCTTAATTTTACAAAATTTTCTGACATCATCTCATTGTCCTATTTTTTTGCTGAAAATTCTTAAGTCTCAGGTAGACACTACAAAAACTTGCTAACATCTGAAGAAGTGAATTACATGTTGCATGACTTTTTGTGATTCTTATTAAATGGACTTGAGGAGATTTGGCAGAAGAATGCAGGTCGGTCAGTAGAAAAATATTATTATAAGATAAATTCCTAAATTTTTTGAAAACGAATGGCTCTATCATTTCTCCCACATTCCAATTGTCCCTTCAACATACTTCAATTCACTTTCCATCATAGACATCATCCAGTAGTCATATACAACCACAAATTGATCAAGAAGAGTAAAAATAATTCTTCTGACACTTGTTATACAAGATAAATAAATTCCGCAGATATAAAGCAAAACTCATTCACTGAAAAAACATGTTGTAAATGAATTAGCTTAGCATCTCTATAAGGAAAAATAAACAATATTCCAGCATCTCTCAATTCCATACCAGTTGTGATAGTTCTGAATCGTTCTTGACCTGCAGTATCCCATATTTGCAATTTGATCCTCTTTCCATCAAGCTCAATCGTTCTTATCTTGAAATCAATCCTGCATGAGAAGAAAGAAATCATACACAAGAGACAGGAGAAGGCCAAAAATCGAATCTGTAATGAGTCTGCTGATGCTCCAAGGAGACATACCCAATGGTAGTGATGAAACTGGTGGTGAAAGAACCATCGGAAAAACGTAAAAGAAGGCAACTCTTACCCACACCTGGAAAAGCCATCAAAACCATGACAAACAGTTTCAAAAAGACAAGCTAGAGATAATAATTTTACAAATTGCGGAGAAGAAAGGTAGATGAAAGTGCCCGCACACTCGCATAAGTTGTAAAGCAAAAAATTCCGATAATGTAAAGAGTAGCCTCCTTAAATCCAGTCAACATGATTTTACAGCTCACCAGTAACTTAATGGCACATGACATGTTATTTTTCCATGATTACTGCACCTTTCTAGACCGAATTTCAAAAATCTCTCTCGGATTTAAAAGCAAACGAAAAGCAAAGGTTATCATCCTTGAATATGGAACGACGCTCTACTGTGTTCCCAGTAACTAGTAAATCAAAAGTCATAACATTAAAAGCTTCCTACGAACCCACATGCGTTTCTACGCAAACAGAGAGCAATACACCGAAAAAAAAAACTCAACGTTGCACCCAACCCAATTAGCATCAATGTTTTCCCATCGTATTACCAAACAGAGAGAGGACCGTAAAACAGCACACATTATCGAGAGCATTTGGCCGGCCGGCAGCCATTTCCCCGGTAAATCTACCAAACATTTTCGCTTATATTCATCTAAATTTCTCACAAAATAACAATAACAAATACCCCAAGCATCTCACCCAGAACAATTAAAAAAATCGATAAAATTCAAACATTTCCCATCAAAAAGAGGTGAAGCAACAACACAAACTACACGGACTCATGCCTACATTGTAATAATATTTTATATATTATTATATTATTGTGGACCATATAAATTAATTGGACCTAATTGAATTAATAGTCAAACTTAATTACGGTGAACATGTATTTAAGGGATTATTTAATGTTCTAATATTAAAGAGTCCAATTTGTGATGTTTGACTTAGACAATAAGTTAGGTTTAGAACATGGGGAATGTTAGTGGGATTAGGATTGTAAGTCTCCTCTTCCTATATATACTACATGCCCCTCTCTCCTATCTCATACGAAATCAACATCAAGGGGCTTTGTGAATAGACGAGAGGCGCGGGAGAGAGAAACATAACCCTGCCAGACATACAAGAACATACAAGAACAGGGAAGGACTAATGCATTATGTGCAATTTAATTTATGACAAATGGATTATGTGCAATTTAATTTATGCAAAAGATCCATGTTCTATGAATTGATAGAATTACATGCTTAGGGTTTATTCAATTCCGCCTAATTGTTATGAATATACCCGTTAAATTTCTTACATACATTTCACATCAAACCGCATAAACGATGAAGAAGAAGAAGACAAAAAAGGAAATGATACAGAATGAGGTGAGAAATACACCCACCGCTATCGCCGATCAAGAGAAGCTTGATGAGATAATCATAATCGGCCCGAGCTCTGGCGGGTGGAGCAGCCATCGGATTCGGATTCCACTTGTGCTTCCCACGAAAATTCCTCGAAAATAAACCCTACCAACAAACAATGGCAGCTCAAAACTACATGGAGCGCATGAAAAATGAACTATCAAATTCGAAGGAAAAAAATAAAAATTGAAGAAAAGCACAGATATTGTGGATTTTTAGAGAGAGACGAGCATAAATTACCAGATAGATCGCAGGAAAAATAGAAAGAAGAGAAATGGATCTAATAAATGAGGGAAGCAACAGTGGTCGATCGTTGAATTCTGTAATTCTATTATTTTTTATTTTCATTTATATTTTTTGAATAAATCAATGATGGGAACGGATTTATTAATATTTAATGTTTTATTGAAATTTAAAAGCGTGTTGAGGTTGGTAATATCAGCTATCAATGAATTATAAATAAAAAATAACTTAATTTAGAAATTAATAATAGAAATAAACCGAAAAGTAATAATTTATAAATAGTAAGAGTTAATATATTTGTAATAAAAAAATTATAAATGTACAAATAAAAGTTGATTTAAAAGTGAAGGAGATAATTTTATCAGTTTGAAACGGTATAGGATTTGAGTGGGTTGCTTAATGGTGTGTTTGTAAAAAGATAAATTCAATCAAATTAATTCAAAGTGAGTTTTTTTAAGTTAAATACAATTAATTTAAAAAAAAGTAGTATAGTTAGTTGTTAGTGGAATTTTGAGAGTATATTAAAATAATATTTAAAATAAAATAATTAAAATTAATTTGATATAAAAGTATGAGAGAGATGATATGAAGTGATGATTATTTAAAATTATGTGAGTGGATGAATAGTGAATTAAAGGTGATATGATGTGTAAAAATGATTGGTTGTTATTATTAATGATTGGTTGCTATTATTTAATTATATTGATACAGTTTTGCTCTGGAACCATCGGATGATTCGGCTTATAGAGTCATCCATAGTTATCCACAAATGGTGTATTGACACGTGTCCTGCAATAAATACACATTGGACACGTGTCAATACATAAAGTTATGGATGGCTCCATAAGGGAGTCATCCGATGGCTCCATAAGGGAGTCATCTGATGGCTCCATAGAATTACTGTATATCGATAATATTGAGGATGATGAGTTTGAGTTAAAGTTGAATCTATATATATATTTAATAAGAATTACCATTTAACAAAAATAGTAGCAAAAAAAATAGGAGAGAATTTAATGCAACCTATAAATAGTAAGGTTTTTTTATTTTATATTTTTATCTTTAAAAAATAGTATAACATTAAATGTTGCATTAATTTTGAATTTAATTCAGTTTATTATTTAAAAATTTCAGCTAAGATCATTAAGTGTGCATTTTTTATTTTTATTTTTTTCATAGAAACACCGAATAACATTAAAATCTAAGTCTCTATATTTATAAAATCTCAATTCAAAAGACAATAAAATTTTAGAATATTGGTCTTTATATTTATGCCTTTATAAAAAAAAAAGATATTGAATGCTATTCTTTAAATATCATTTTTCACTAATCATCACAATTTTTTTATTTGGAGCGTGTGATAATAAACTTGGTAATGTTTATTATTTTTTTTTTTACCAATCTATTGTTTTATTATACTCGGTTTCAAAAGGTAAAATAATTTTCAAATTTTCAGTCTCAATAATTATGCATTTTAAAAAATATATTTAATGATAATATATTATTTGTTAATAGTACACAATTTTGAAAACTCCATTATAAATTGTATGTTGATATCCAAATCATTTTATAAATGCAATCGACTTTGTTAAATATCCACGAAAAATATGGTAAACAAAATGAGACGATCAACTTTGTACGGAAGTAAAATAGAATCAATAAATCATAATGAAGTTAAGAGGAAATTAACATAATGAATAATTTGTAAAGTACACGGATCTAAAAATTAATACTCACGTGGATTCTAAAATTCAAACTTATACTTATCATCATCTTTTGGAAATTGAATAATATATGTAGGCAAGATTTTTTTTAATAATTTTAACATGTTTTATTTATAAAATAGTTTAGAAAAATTTTAGGTGACTTCACATCTTTCAATAAGGATATATAAAATTTTAGATACTTTACATACGTTATATAATATTTTAGGTGTTTTTAATATTTTAAATATATATTTTTTTATGTTATTTTATACAAGATAATTTTATATTGTTTACATCTGATATACGATAAATTATGTCATATATGAACTCTACATCTTAATTACAATTGTTAATTAATATTGTTTATCCTCATATTTAATTTATAATTATGAGTTAATATTCTTTACTATCATCTTTAATTTATAATTATTATTTAATATTATTTACCCGTGCATCACGGGCTACACACTAGTTAGATTTTGAATATGAATTAATTTGGTTTGAGTAAATTCTTTTACAAACATCCTCTAAGAAACTTGGGCCTATGGTTCTCTTTCCGCGTACACTTGGATATATTGTGGAAAGCCTGGTTGGGCCCATTTATCGCTGGACCTACTCATTATCGCTGGATACTATGTTCTGAAAAGTGAAAACAGAGAAAACAATGTGAAATGCTCGATGTTAAGAGCATCTCCAATGCTATGAGTTTGAAAGAACATTATTTTTAACACATGTCAATTAGTGATTGTAATGTTAATCTACATTGGAATAATGTTAAAGGACTAGAAATTTGAATGAAACTAGTATCTCCAATGCATAAGTTTGATAAGTAGTTATTTGTATAGATGAACCAATTAAATAATTCATTGATACAAGAAAAATAAAAAATTAAAACAAATATGAAGTAAATTGATGAGTCATCATGTTTAACATGATGTTAGATATTAGAAAGTGTGTTTAACATTGTCAACATTAAATGACATCCACCTCATCATGAAAGAGTTCATGACAAGATGCATTGGAGAAGAAAATAGTAACACACTTTCAAAAGTTGATGATATTGATGACTTTTTATAATGTCAAAAGTCACATTAGAGATGCTCTAAGGACAAAGTCACTAAATGAAATGAATAGTTTTCTTTTTTCCTTTTTTGAAAAAAAAAAAAAAAATTAGTTGGGGTGTTTAACTGAGGGGGAAAAAATAACATAATATAATTATATTTTCTAATTGTGCATTTTTTTTTCGTGTTGTGCGAGGCATTGTGGCCCCTATCACTTTCACAGAGAAATTAACACTACAAAAAATTGTTGAATTTTCATTGAAAAATCCCTATGAAAATATATTTCAATAGAACTCAAATAGTAATTTCATAAATATTCCAATGTTTTTGTTTAGAATTGTTGTTTAGATTTATTCTTTCAATATAGAAATTTCAATCCATTCTAAGTCAGATAAATATATTAAAAAAATATCTCATATTCTTTTATGTGTAAAGTATTTATTTAATTAAGTATATTTTACTTAGTATACAACAACTAAAATTAACTCGTTTTGGGCCAATAAAAAAAAAAATGTAAGCAACGTTTTGGACCAACCAAAAAGGGTTTGGACCTAGGCTTGTCAAAATGGCCAGGCTCGCCGACCCATTTAATAGGCAGGTTAGGCTATTATTTAAAAAAGGCGAAAATACACATACACGTGTAAATCAAGCAACATGTGCCAATTAACGAGATTGTAAAGTTAAACGCAGATTTGTT